GGGGGCCATGGCGGAGCCGGGAAGCCGGGACCCCGAGACCCGGGTAACTGCCGCGGCGTCGCGCTTGTCTTCCCGCAGGAGGAGGAGTTGCCCTCGGGGGTGGGCGGCGCGGGGCTCCCCCGCGGGGCCTGAACAGAGGAGGGCGGAGACTGGGAGGGAAAGCGCCCCCTCGGCTTGCCCTCAAGAGTAGGTCCGTGGCTGCTGGGCGGCCTGCAGGGTGGGGTCGTGGTGATTGGCGGGTGGGGAGTGCGTGGGGCCGGGGTGATCTGGTGCCCCCGGAGAGGGTAGGAGGTAGGAAAGGAGGACTCAAAGTTCAGAGAGGCCGGGGAGACGAGGCCCCACTGGCCCAGAGGCTCTAGGAAGAGAAACAGGCCAAGAACGCGCTGGAGTAAAAGGAAACTAACATTGTCTAGGCCTGCTTGGTGTGGCATTTGGCTGAGAGTTACTTAGCTCCCCCAGTGACCCTGCGGGGTAGACCAGAAACTTATTTAAAGACAGAAGGGAGCAGCAGAGCGAATGGAGTGGTAGGGGACACGCTTGGAGTTAAGGCTGGGCCTGATCCCGGATCTGAGGCCCACGTGGTAGCAGCTGTCTTTGTTTACCAGGCTCATCCCTAAAGCCTCATGCTTTCTAAACAAAATTGCCTCTTTTTAATTTAACCCATTTAGTCGTCAACTTATATCATCTAATTTCAAACAACGGCTGTGTTTAGCAACCAGTTGGCAAAACTCCTGAAACTCTTAACCATTGGCAACCAACTGGCAGGCCGCCGCTGCTCCTGCCCAACTTTTGCACAGGCTAGCCTGGAATGCCTTCCTCATGCCCCTGTTTTAAAAATTGGTTTTCTGAAATGCTCACCACAGTCCTCTAAGCCTGGTGCTTGGTGGGGGGGAAGGAGGGGCTTTGCTGGGGGAGTTCCCTGAGGCGTGCTGAGCTCTACTGGGAGCTCCACGTTGGATCCAGCCTCGGGCTCACAGTACCTTAGTGTAGCTGTGGACATCCCTGACTTGGGCCTGGGGCTGTTATGTCCTGGGATTCCTTACTCCCAAAGCACTCCCACCTACGCACATGCACAGGCACCCGGTCTTTATTCCTGGGCTGGGCCCTGACACCCACAGCCTGCCCTCTCAGACCCTCCTCATCTGCCCACTGTCTTTTGTGAGACCTGCCAATCAAGCAGGAGGGTAGGGCAGAGTGACCTCAGATCTCTGCAGTACAATCCACTCTGAAATTCTAAGATCACAGATTTGCCACTGTGAGTTGGAGGGTCACTGGTGAGAGTAGAGGAAAAAGTCATGTGATTTTATTAAGCTGTTTTTAATGATTTGTAAGCCCAGCCATATGTAATGCACTATGGTGGCCTCTCTACAGTCATTGTTTGAGCTTTTCTACAAGAGGGCTGGAAGCTCCATTTTAAGGAACTGAAGCTGCCAAGGGATCCGTCAAGCCATTATCACACAGCCAATTAAGCAGTGGAGTGAGATTTGCATTGACTTTGGGAGACCTCTGTCAAACCAGGGTTCTTTCCATTCTAAGTGGATCTTTGGGGAGGGCACGGATCCTCAAGAGTGAGGTGGAGACAGAGGCCACTGTGGTTCCCAAAATGGGTTCCCTGAGAAGGAACCTGCAGCATTCGCCCCCATTACCTAGCTGTGGTGTGATGCAGACACTGGGATCACCCCTAGCCACAGTCACCTTGGCAGCCTCCTTATCCTGAAGATCAAGCTAAGGTTTCCTGGGCCCCTAAAAATATCAGGTTAGTTTGGAGTTTGCCTCCTCTGGGAAGCCCTCCCGCTCCTTCTGTTCCCACCCCAGGTTTAGGTAGGGGCCCCTCTGTGCTCACACTGAACTCCAGACTGTCCTCAATTTCACTGTCTCGGGAGCGGCCCAGACAGGCCTAGGGCTGTTTTTATCCCCAGGGCATGGCAAAGTCAAGTGTTCTCCAGTGTCCAGCACAGGGCCTGAGCGGATGGGCGACTGGATTCCTAAAAGTCAGCTGTGACAAGACTGTGGGGGTGGGGTTGAGCATGGTGTCACATTGTGGACTCATTAGGCTATCCTGGTGCCCAGGGCTGTGGAAGTCCAGCCTCAGGAGTTAATTCTGGCTACCAGTCCTGAGGCTGCCCCGACCAGCTCTGTGGCCAAGGGCAAGGCACTTATTCCTCTCGCTGTCAGTTGCCCCGTTCATGAAGCAGGCATCCCAATGCCCACCCACAGCCACGGTGCTCAACAGGCTGCCTGGCCCACTGGGGTGCTCCGCGGATGTTCTCAACCTAATCCTCCATCTCGCTCACGGGACTGGCTGCCATGGGTGTGAGGGTTGTGCCCTGCATGGGAGTACGTGCAGGCTCCCCTGCAGCCCGCATGCCCAGCCATGTGCCTCAGTGGGGGCTCTCCTCTGCCTGGAAGAAGGAACCCTTTTCCTTCATCTGCACAAAAACATCTTAAGGACTACCCAGCACAAAGGACTTAAAGCATCTGGAGAGCCTGGAAGGCTATGGGCTGGTCCACTCTCAGCCTCTGACATGCAGAGGAAGGAGAGGGAAGGAGGAGGGAGGTATCAGGTCACCGTTGCTGCTGCTAGAAAAAGGGCCAGAGAGAGGACTTGGGCTGGAGGGGCAGAACCTGGCTTGCTGGACTTCCAGAGCCGGCACAGCGCATGCTGCTGAGAAGTCTGGGTTCTGGTGCCTGGTGTGATGCCTGGTGCCACCAGGCCAAGTTAGTGCACTACTGTGAGCTTCAGCGCTCCCCTCCTTGAAATGGTGACAATACCAAACTTCTTAAGGCTACTCATTCAGCAAATAATTGAGAGTCTACTGTGTGAGACACTGTTCTAAGGTATTGTGAGGATTAAGTGGTAGCCACCAGGACTCCGTCCCATAAATCCCAGCTGCTGTTCCTATTAGGCAGCTTAATATAATTGCCTGGTGGATGCGTGGGACCTTGCTGGTTGCAAAGGAGGCTGAGCTGCTCTTAGGGAAGGGCTGAGACTTTGCCCTGCTCACCTTAAAGCACCAGCAGGGCCTTCCCCTGCAGGACACCTCTACCCATCTTCTGGCCCAGCAGGTGGAGGTAAGGGGCCACCGGGCTCTCGCCAAGGGGTCATGGTCATTCGGTCACTCGCCGCTGTGCATTTACCCAAGGCCTGGCACGGGGAGGCTCCCGGCGCCCCACGTCCGCGCCCGGGTTCACCACGGTTGGTCTGTGCACTCCCTGGACTCTGCCCTGCCGGGGCCCCACCTCCCCCGCCGGCCCTCGCCCCCGCTCCAGTCCCAGGGCGCGGGCGTTCTCCACCCCAGGGCCGGCCTCTCCCTGACACCCTCCCTGTCGGGAGGCTGCTTTCCTGACACGCTCCCTGTCGCGCAGGCCTGCAGCCCGAGCGGCGCCGCAGCCATGACCCCGCCTCAG